CCCTGTTTGTTTTTCAGAGTCCATCGTCTCTCATGGTTCGTCTCCCCCTCCGATTTCCCCCGCTTCATTCTTCCCCTCCTGCTATCTTCTTCTTTTTTTTTCTTAACATATATTGCATTATTTGTTTCAGAGGTACAGATCTGTGACTCAACAGTCTTGCACAGTTCACAGTGTTCACCATAGCACATACCCTCCCCCACTTTATTATTTTTAAAGGAGGTTCTTTAATGACTGCTACTCTCCACTGTACCAACGATGGCCTTCACTTCACTGCCCAACTTGTTGAAAAAGCAGCCTATGTTGGCGCCTCCCATTCTTTTCCATTCAATCCCACCCTATCCCCTCTCACTGCTCGGATGGCTCATCCTTACATGCTTCATTTCCCCGAGGCTTGGTTTCCAGTTGTCCTTTTTCTCTATACCTTCTTCCTTGTCACCTTAACAGGTTCAGCTATCATCTGATGCATGTGAAGTACTCACTCACACTCTACCACGCTCTTCTGGACACCACTACTTGGTATCTCAAACTTAATATGGCTCAAACTCAATTAATGATACTGTCTTTTAAACCAGCTCCTCCACCAGTGTTTCATTCCTCCTATAAATGACATCCTCCTCCTCTCAGTCACCCAAGGCCAAAGTTAAATTATTCCTCTCCCCGATCACCTGATACAATTCTACCTCATTTTTAACACCCCCCCCCCATTTGTCCTCTCCTCTTTGGCTGCTGTGTCACCATCATGATCCAGGTAACAATTCCTTGCACCTTGCTTACATTACTGTGCTGGCCACTGTCACTCTGTCTGAGGTCAGAGTCAGAACATCCCTAGCCTAAAAGTTCAGGGTCTGAACCCATCTCCCCCTCTGACCTCATCCCTATAAAGTCAACCCAAGGCACCACTAGCAGCTTCTTACTGTGACACTTTCTTTCATATCTTTGGTCATGTCCCTCTTCTGCAAGCTCCCTGCCCCAACTTGTGCCTGGATAATTCCTAGTCCTCCTTGAAGATTCAGTGCAGAATTTACCTCCTCTGAGAAGTCTTTGCTGCTGCTCCCCCAGATGGAAGGCGAAGCCAGCATTTTGCATATACTTCTATTACAGTGTTTACAACACTACTAAACGATATCCTTAAGGATACAATGTTTTTTTTTTTTTTTTAAAGATTTTATTTATTTATTTGACAGAGAGAGACACAGCGAGAGAGGGAACACAAGCAGGGGGAGTGGGAGAGGGAGAAGCAGGCTCCCCGCAGAGCAGGGAGCCCGATGTGGGACTCGATCCCAGGACCCTGGGATCATGACCTGAACCGAAGGCAGTCGCTCAACCGACTGAGCCACCCAGGCGCCCTTTTTTTTTAATTATTTATTTTAGAGAGAGAGAGAGAGCATGCCACTCAAGTCGGGAGAGGGGCAGAGGGAGTGGCGATCTTCAAATAGACTCCCCGCTGAGTTTGGAGCCCCCATGCAGGGCTTGACATGGGTCTCAATCCCAGACCCATGAGATCACAACCTGAGCTAAAACCAAGAGTCGGGCACTCAACCGACTGAGCCACCCAGGCGCCCCTGGTTGACCTGCATCTCAGTATCTCTAATGAGGTACTAGGCATGTAGTAGGCACTCCAGTGTTGGCTGAATAAATAAGTGGATGGATAGATTTAAAGGCCACCATGATATATCATGCCCCACCTATTTTCTTTTCTCTCCTTTTTGCATATCCTATGACCCATTCAGAGCAAACTCACTGCTCCCAGTACATATTCTAAGAGTTCTGACTTCTGTCTTCTTACTTTGCTGACTGGCATGCTCTTCTCTCAACTTTTCCCACACACTATCAGAGAGGTTAGGTTAAGAGTGTGGATTTCAGGGTACTAACCTAATAAATCTTCATTCTATCTATTAGTAACTATGTGACCTTGAGCAAGTTACTTTACCTACCTATGCATCACTTCCCTCATCTACCTAATTGAAATAATAGGACCTAACTCATGAGACAACATGAGGAGGATTAAATGTGATAATTATGCTGAACTGGTTAATTTACTCAAAATAACCAATCAAGTGGAATAACCAAGTGGAAGCCAGCGTTCATCACTGTGGGAGGCTTGGCTTTGGTGACATCTCCTTTGTCAAGTCTGCTTGACACATGCCCGAAATTGCTAGTTACCTACTCAATATCTATTCTTTCCTTCTTTTTTACTAATGGATCTCTGATTAGGTCAGAAATGAACATGTTAGAAGAAACATTTCTCAGTTTTCCTTGTGACACTGTTCTGGCTACTGAGCATTAAGTAAGTCACTGGGTGCAGCTTCTGGGAAAGCTCCCTAAAGGGGGCAAACCAGCCAGCATATATCTTCTGCCTTTGCCCTTCTCCTTCCTGTCCGGAATGTGGGTGTAATGGCTAGTGCTCCAGGAGTCACCTTGTGAGCATGAGGAAGAGGGAGTGCAAACTTAGGAGGCAGGGTTTCTGATGACACCGTGTTCAACAAGGCCTGGACTGCCATTACTTAGAATGGTAACATTTTAAACTTTGATTAAGATAAGCACAGTCTCCTGAATTACCCAATATGTTATAAATATGGCATGATTTTTAAGATTTGATCACATTATATATACAAAATTGTATTAAGTTCTTACTAAAACTAATTTACCACTATCTTGAAACGGTGGTATTCAACTAGCTAGCTATAAAATGCAAATGTACTATAGTCTGCAAAAGAAGTCATTAAAAAAATGTTTATATTTTAGATACAAATGTTGAAACTATGTATTACCATCCTAATAGCTCCGCCTTTCCCACGATTCTTCACCAGCGTTATCACTCGTACCTTGTCACTTCCGTAGTTCTGGCAATATTTAAAAGCTACCTGTCAAATTATATAAAAGTCAGAATAATATTAACTTGGATTCCAAGACAGTGACATAAGCTGCGTTTCTGAGTTTGGCTTAAATACTGCTATTCCAGTTGCTTTCTTCTTGTGACTAGATTATACTCACTGTACATTTTAGTGGCCCAGAGTTGTTGAATTCCTGGTGCCAAGAACCAGTAATGACCTACTAGGTTGAAGTCACAATTTGCTTTCCTGCAGAGGTACCACCAGAACAGGCAGCGGCTCTTTCTTATTCTGCCTCCTTTATTTATGCTAATGAGCTGCTAGAGAAAATAAAATCGATGCACTGATCGACTGGTACACACTTGTGATTGCCACCCCCCTCGTACTGCTTAGCGACTTGTTTACTTGTCAGCAACTGATCTTACTACCCAGAGTTGTTGTTCATATCCTGGACCATGTTCCCCAAAATCTTTCCACTCAACTGCCATTACTTTTTTTTTTTTTTTTAAAGATTATTTATTTTGAGAGAGAGAGTGTGTGTGAGTCAGGGAGAGGGGATGCAAACTCCCCACTGAGTGTGTATCCCGATGTGGGGCTTGATCTCACAACCCTGAGATCATGATCTGAGCTGAAACCAAGAGTTGAACACTTAACCCGCAGAGCCACCCAAGTGCTCTTGCCATTACTTTTTGATTTATAATCAAAGCCATGAAACGGTGATCTGTATTTGCTGTGTATGTCTTTTCATCACTCGATTAGGCATCAATCCACTGTGGTAAGAGAAGTAAAGGAAAGAGAAGTTAAGGAAAGTAAGAACCCTTTGCTTTTCCACACAGCTTTTCTATCTTATCTCTCTTCATCAACAGCATCCTCTTTCTCTCTTTTTTATTTTTTATTTTATTTTATTTTTTATATAGGCTCCATGCCCAGTGTAGAGCCCAATGCGGGGCTTGAACTCACGTCGCTGAAAGCAAGACCTGAGCTGAGATCAGGAGTTAGATGCTTAACCAACTGAGCCATCCAGGCGCCCCCCACCCCCCTTTTAAGTAGGGCTCCATGACCAACATGGGCCTTGAACTCACAATTCCAAGATCAAGGGTCGCATGCTCTACTGACTGACCAGCCAGGCGCCCCAATACTCTCTCCTTTGACCCTCATTTCCATAGGGAGTGTGAAGTTATTCTCACTCCTGGCAGACCAGCTTTTATTTTTTCTAGCAGCTCAGTAGCTATAGGTCTAAGAATGCAGGACTGGGAGGGGACCACACTCTTAAGACACTTGTTACATCCCATGGGTAAATCTAGATGGAGGTATGACAAAGGACATATCTGATACCCAGTGCCAGATATGAAGGCATCTTTCTATTTGCATGACTGCTTTAGAAATTGTAAGGCAAGGTGGAGCATAAAGAAAAAAAACTGTGCTTAGGAAAAAGGAATCACATATTGGTAGGCAAAGAAGGCTCCCAGTGGCCATGGTGAATTGTGCATGTTTTCTCCCGACTTGGTGATCTTCAGAGCTTCCCTGGTCTTATGGAGTGGTGGAACAGCAGGTATATTTTCCAGCTTTCCATAGGTGAAATCCCTCTGCCTTTCTGACTACCCACGCTGTAACAATAGAGTGTGCTGGCACAGCTCTGGCAATCTCTGAGGAGTTGGAAATAAGACTTTCCATCTGCTAAAGTACTCTATTTTCTCTACCTACTGGCAATCCTAAAAGCAAGTTCACTTACCTTTGAAGTCTGGTCTTTGCTGCCATCATCAACCACTATCACCTCATAAGTGAATGTAGGATCTTGCTTCTGCAAGAAACAAAAATGAAATACCACAATTTGGCATAAATGTCATCAAGAATTCTGATAAAATTGCAAGGAGTTTAAATAACAATTGTTTTAGTGTGATACATATAAACATGAATATGAATAAGTGTACAAACCACATAAAATAAAAAGGCCAAGAACCAAAAGGAGGAAAGATGCTGGACAGGAGCAGAAGGCAAACACGAACTGAACACCCGTGAGTGTGTCGTCACCTCCCCCCCCAACCCCCCACCAAATCGGTGGGAGCAGCCAGGTGCTTGTGGTGCTAAGCACTTCTGAGAGACGCTACAAACGTGTATGAGAAAAAAGTCCGTGAGGTTGGAGGTTAGAACATGTAATTCTAACCTGGCTACACTATTTCTTAGCCTTATGATCTTCTGGCCTGTTTTCTCATCCATGTGGTTAACACACATCATAGAAGAGATAGAAGCCTCATATGTAATAAAGGCTCCATTCCCTCCCTCTTTTACTTTTTCTTTTTTAAAGATTTTATTTTTAAGTAATCTTTACATCCAACATGGAGCTTGAACTCAGAAATCCAAGATTAAGAGTCACATGCTCCACTGACTGAGCCAGCCTGGTGCCCCTTTCTCCCTCTTTTCTTTAAACTCAAGTTTTGAATGTGGCCCCCTCTCTTTTAATGAATCTCCTATCTTCCTTTTACATGTAAAGCCTAAAACCAAAGTAAATCAAAACAAGGAATTTTCTTAAAAAAAAAAAAAAGAACCAGCCACAAAGCTCATTTGTTTCCTTAAACTCTCCAAGATTCCAATAGCAGCTGATTAGATATAAAACAAGGACACATATTACTTTTCTTCTCCTCATGCGGGGAAAGAGAAAATAAATGAGGGGAACTCCTCTAAATAATAAAGAAAAACAATCATTTCACTCTCATTTTAAATATTTTTCAAATAAACATCTTTTTAAAAAGTCACAAATGGGCGCCTGGGTGGCTCAGTTGGTTAAGCGACTGCCTTCAGCTCAGGTCATGATCCCGGAGTCCCTGGATCGAGTCCCACATCTGGCTCCCTGCTCAGTGGGGAGTCTGCTTCTCCCTCTGACCCTCCCTCCTCTCATGCTCTCTCTGTCTCTCAAATAAATAAATAAAATCTTTAAAAAAAAATAAAAAGTCACCAAAGTAAAAAGAGCATCGTGTGACCACACAAAGTCTGCAGACATATTCAATTTTAAATACATCACCAGGCAAGAAGATAAAAAGTGGGCGGGAGGGTCCATAAGAAATTTCAGCTTTCTGTTTGTTCTGGGTTCACCCACCTGCTTCTAGAGGCAGGGAGCCACGTGCTGGGCTTGCTTGCTAACACCTGACAGCAGGCAGCAAGCTGAGCATGGGAGGCCCGGTGACCTTGATGACCCAGGCTTGGCTGGCACTGCCTCTCAGAGAGGATCTAGCCTGCAATCTACAAGTTGGTGATCTAGTCTAGTTTTAATTAGAGACATCATATTGAAAGAGAAAACACGATACCTGTCTCTCCTCTAGATAGCCCAGAGCTTCATCCATCATTACAGGCACTTAAAGAAAAAAAAAATGTATGAAAAATTGCTTTTGAAAACAATTTGCCAAGGCCCCAAGCATGCAGTTTACATATGGAAAAAGTCTGAATGGTCTAACAGGTCCCTCTGGGACTTCTCCTTCAGTGGCCTTTCCCATCTGGAAGGTCTGTTTTCTGTTCACATCTGGCTTATTGCTTCTCTAGAACACTTCAGGCCTATGACTTCATGATGCTGACCCTATCTTTTACAGCTAGTATTTGTTTCCCCTCTTATGAACTACAATTTCCCCTCTTATGAACTATGCACTCACCATAGCCCACATCTATTAACGTTCTGGCAAAGACAGTAAAGTCCATACTTTAAATTTCCTTTTCTTCCCAGTGACCCCTTACCCAAAAAATGAAATCGGGCTTACACCGTTTTTCTTCATTGTATGAAGGCACGACAACAGACAGCCGTTTGGTAGGTGAGTCCCAGATGCTGGGCAATGTTTCCTTCTGTCCTCTGGCATTTAAGAAGAACCTCTCTTCTTCATGTTGATGGACGTGTGGCATTTTCGTAGCAGTTATAAATGCAACAAAGGAAATCTAAAAGCAGGATGTTAACAAGAAATTATGCTATGTTCACTTTTTTTTTAAGATTTGTTACATAAGAATACATCATTTCTGTGGTTTTGTTTTTTTTTTTTTTTTTGGTGGAATATTTACTCTCAGTTTTTAATCCATTAACAGTGGTCTGGAGGTGACACCAAAATTCAAATCCCTTACTTAGGAACTCATTATTGTCCTTTCTTCCATTGGTAAGGAACTAATGCCTTAGGAGGCTCCCTGTCTCTTCCCACCTGTCATCCTCAGGCCTCTGTCATCCTAGATCTAATAGGGAATAGTCACTACAGAAATACAATCCACTCTAAGATGCCCTGAACCCCCAATCCCTGGCAAACACACTGTGAGGTCCCATTCCTACTTGGAGCCTATATGTGACAGAGAATAAGTTCACAGTGCAGGTGGAATGTATGGAGTGAGGGCGGACCTCCCATCTAGGACCAGACTGACCCAGGGTATGAAAGGAAGACCCCTCTATCCCCATAGTAGGGACCAGTAATGCTTAAGAATATTCTTGACACTTATCCCAGATTTGAATTCAGAATACATTATTTTTTGAAGTAAAGTATCAAACTTGTAGGCTCTGGCACCATTCACTACTAACATTAGATAGCCCCCTTCCATATTTATTTGGGAACTAGCTTTGGAAATAACCATTCTTTGTAACATTGTTTCTAGTGGTACACTTTCTGCTTTTAAAATAGTCAATTCACAAATTTTTGGAATGCTACTCATTTTTAATGTGGTGACCATTTATAATATTCCATCGGGTACATACTGAAATTGAATTTGCTTTGATTAGTAGGAGCATGGAGGCAGTATCCTGACTAGTGGCTAAGAGTTCCTATTCTGCACCCCAGTGTCCAGATACTGTGATTTCTAAATTCAGTTTCCTACTGAAAGGAATCAGTGCTCTTTGTAAGATGCCAGAGAATCATCTCATTATTTTGAAAACTTGCCTTTTATAAAACTTACCTTTTATATATGAAAGATATTTCAGAGTAATTGAATAGCTGAGAATGAAATTTTTTTCATTACAGAATTCTAGGTAATACATGAAAAAGGAATTATACAATTAGAATCTGCACTTTGCAACCCCCAGAGAAATATGGATTTAGGTTGACAAACTATACAATTGGTGAGTCAGGCTAACAAAATTCCTGAATCCCTGGATCCATCTTAACACCAGAGAAAATCAGATATTACAAGCCTTCCGATATGATATAAGAGGAAGTATTCAGCATCAGTCACATACTTTTTTTTGTTTGTTTTTTTTTAGATTTTATTTATTTATTTGAGACAGAGAGAATGAGAGAGACAGAGAGCACATGAGAGGGGGAGGGTCAGAGGGAGAAGCAGGCTCCCTGCCGAGCAGGGAGCCCGATGCGGGACTCGATCCAGGGACTCCAGGATCATGACCTGAGCCGAAGGCAGTCGCTTAACCAACTGAGCCACCCAGGCGCCCAGTCACATACTTTTTTTGATTAAAAAATTCAAACATGCATTTGATTAAGTCTCTAAATGTTACTACCAGTTTATAGGAAATTCAGGGGACAGAGTAAGGTGTTAAAAGTTACCAAGGGGATGCAATCAATAAAATCCAGAGTGTGAGAAATTCTACAGGACAAATGACTACTTATTAAAGACAAGGGAAAAAAAGAAAAAAAAAAAGGACAAATTGTTACAGATTAAGATACTTGAGACATCAACACAGTGCTAAGTGTGTGTGAATGCTTAATCGAACAAATGACTATACTAAAACATACATGAGGCATCTGAACTGACGGGATGTTTGAAATCATTGAATAATGGTTAAAATTTTTTAAGAATCCATTATAACTTTATTATGGTTACATATAAAAAGGGGTGTCTTTAAAGATAAATGTTGAGGGTTTACAGATAAAGTGTTAGATCTTGGATTTGCTTCAAAATAATTCAGAAAGGAAGTGGGGTGAGGAAGAGTATGTATGGAAAGTGGATATATATGAAACTAGGTTTTTTTTTTTCTTTTTAATAATGATTTCCTGCTCTGGCATTTTAAACAAATGAAGGTCCACTAGCTGTGTGACATTTTTATACATAATATACTTAATATACATAATATAAATTTCATATGTACATACATACTCTCCAATCTCAGTCTCCTCATCAAATGAAGCTAATGATGATAACATTTATGTCAGCATTGTTTTAAAGATACACAAGATAACCCCTGTTAAACACTGAATACAACAACCAGCATATTATAAGTCCTCTATAAATGGTAGCTCTTATAATCACTTCAAGCTAGTGGGATCAAATACTTGCAGTACACCCTCATAATGCATCCATTTAACTCTGTGCAACAGAGATTTAACAAGCAGATTCAATCTAGGATTCTGTCAAAATTCTGCCCCACCAACAACCTGACTGGCTCAAAAACCTGAAAAAACCCCTTTCTCACCCAGATACAAATCACTGAAGAAGTCAGGACACACTGGTTTTTCTCTATTAAATTGCTTCTACACTGTGAGTTTGCAAACCTGGCAAGATGGAAGAATGGCCTTCCTAGCAGTGCTATCTAGGTGGCCCATCTGGGTGTCGAGGAAGCTGAAACCTCTCCATGTACGAACTGGATGGCAGGCTATTTCCAAATTATATGGGAGAAAGCTCACTTGGCAAACTGTCTATTACTAATGGATCAGCAAGTGTTTACAATGTTTCTATTTCCAGAGTAATGGCAAAGAAAATCCGAGTTTGAATTCTATTGTACTGCCTCCTTTAGAGGCAGCGAATATAGAATGTTTAATTTTGGGACGTAACGACTCCGACATATGGTAACACTAGGCCTGTGTGTCTTGGTCTTACTGTGTCGCTACTGATCTTCTGGATCCACTGATTTATTCCGATCTGTAACAGATGGTTCTCGTCAATGCTCTGTCACCACCTTCTATCTGCTTAACCACATCAGGAAAAGGATGAGTCTGGGGAGCACACACATCCTGAGGGCTCAAGACCTTCCCGGGTGGAGCTGCATAGGCTGCAGATCCGGGAGGAAGTCTTGGAGACTGACAGGAAGCCGGGACTGACAGGGCGGGTGGACAGAGGTCCGGGGACCATGGGACGAGTGGAGACTGGGTGAGCACGTCCCACAGTGAACTAAAGTACAAGGGTCTGGGCACAGAGGGAGGTAAAGCTCCGAAATAAAAATAAAGGGAAGAAAGGAGGTGTGAAATTCTAGGAGAGGAAATCCTGGGGTCAAGGTTTGGGAGAAGGGATACGTCGAAGACGGCTGTGCAGAGGGGAGGATGCGTGGCGGCCGAATCTCCAAGACCGCAGGGAGCCCATGCCCGCGTCGGTCCCCCATCCCTCTCCTCACCAGTATCAGGGCTGCGGCCGCCAGCGCCACGCCGAGCACCGCCAGCTGCAGCAGGAGCCAACTCATCCTCCATGCCCAGGTCGCCGCCCGCCCTACCCAGCACCTACACACACGCGGAAGCGCGGCCGCGCAGCCCCGCCTCCGGCCGGCAGAGGGACAGCGCCGGCCTGGCGCCCGCCGCCCACACCGCCCCCTCGCGGCAAGGCGTTGCGTTCCACTGTAGGGTTGACAGAATCAGCAAGTAAAAATACAGAATGTCCACTTAATTTGAACTTCAGGTAAGCAGTAGACAGTTTTTTGACAGCCTTGTTAAAATAGAATTCACACACCATACAACCCACCCATTTAAAAGGTTTTGGTATATTACACGAGTTTTTAAAAACTGTGATACAACATAAAATTTACCATTTTAACCATTTTAAATGTACAGTGCACAGTGGTACTAATTATATTCACATTTTTCTGCATCCATCACCATTATCTATTTCTAAAACATTCTTCGCTGCCCCCAGCCCCTGGTAAGAACTAATAACATGTACTATTTGGCGTATACTCATAGGGAAAAAAATTACTTTGTTTATCTGACATTCAAATTTAATTGGATGTCCTGTATTCTGTCTGGCAACCCTACCTAGGAGGAAGGTGGGGAGGCCTTGAGCCACAACACAGCCTACAACACAAGCGGCTCCTTTGGAGCCCGCTCCGGGGGCCTGCAAAGTGTAACGTAGTGCGGATAATGAGCACACAGAAAGTTTACGTAATTCTCCAGTGACTGAGCAGGGAGTCCTTTACTTGGGAGGAGGCAAGCCCAGGGCCCAGCCTAAGATGGAGGCGGGAAAAGGACGCGGAAACTTTGGAATAATGCTCCACACTCAATACTCAATTCTTGGCAATAAGGTCGGTTTTCTCTTAAACTCCTGAACTACCAGACTGTTTCTCAAGAGACACACTCTCTTTCCCAATAGCAGATTCGTCAAAACGCATCCAAGGCAAAGAAGCCTAGACGCGTGCGGGGCTAGAGACACTCGGAGCAAAGGTGGGCCGGGAACCAGCCCCCCCGCGCCCAGCCCTTTGCGTCTGAAGCAGCGGGAAGAGGGCGCGGGCGTCCCTGTCGAAAGTTTGGAAGCGGCGTAAGCGCGAGGCCCGTGAGGCGCACGCGCGCGGGCGGGAAGATGGCGGCCGGGTTCAAGTGAGTGTTGGCGGCGGGCGGGCTCGTGTTTGTACTCTGGTGGTTGGAGGCTTCCTTTAACCCTTCGCTGGGATATTTCTCACCTGGAGGCCACCCTGCCAGATTCCCATTTCTTTCCCTCATGGAAGCAGGCGACGGGCGGAAGGACCTGGAGGTGGTCGGAGTGAAAGGAAAGGGGGCTTTTTCTCCGCAGTGAGAGGGGAGATGGAAGGGACTGTGTACAGAGTTCAGTACCCGCGGCAAGCGCCTGTGGCCTGGTGTAGTGGACTTGCGGCCCCAGGGGACACCGTTGTAATCTTTTTAAAAAGTGTATCAGAACCCCAGGCCACCTTGTGCTTCCTCTCCTCCGTGATTTATTTCTAAAAGGATTGTGCCTTCTTCGGAAGGTTTTACTTAAGCCTTTTTTGTGCCACTCTGGTGAAGCCTGTAGATTTTTGTTCTCAGAGTCAAGTTTTTAAATGGATAAAATACATAAGATTTCAAAGGAAAATAATTGTATTGACGCAGTTATCTTTCTTTTTGTATAAACGCCGAGTTCTTGATACAGTGATATATACGTGCTCTTTGAACAACATTCTTAAACTCTAGTGGGGAGTCTGTAACTGTTAAAACTCCTGGAATTCCAAGTTAACGAGTACGAGTCTTCACGTAAGCTTCGACAACTATAAAGTAAAAACGGAAACATTTAATCTCTGTGGTTGTTAAAGTTGCAGGTACTAATATTTTATAAAGGTTTATTGCCTACAATCATAATTGAAGAATATGCTAAATTTCAGTTACAGGATAGTGAAAATAAAGATGTAATTTTTTCATCTTAATCCCTGCTTCAGAGCGAAAGTGACATTATTATTTTAGCAACTGGATTAATTCTTTTAAAGATGCCCAAAGGCTTTGGGCTCCAACCTGTAATTGTTTAAGGTAGAGTTAAGGACAGCAGTTGAGTGTGATTATTGCTGCAAGAGTACCTCTTTTAGTAGTTATATGTGGCAACATAAACTTTCAGAATGCATGAAAGAAACTTAGTTTCAAATTGGGGAGATTTATGCTGCATCATCACACTCCTATGATCTTTGCCAGTTTTTGGATTTATGTTAAGATTCATTAACTTACCTCAGATATATTTTTAACATGTTTCAGAACTGTGGAACCTCTGGAGTATTACAGGAGATTTTTGGTGAGTAAAGGTGGTTATGTACAGGTTGTACCTTTTGGTAACAGTATCATGTGCTTTTCAAATTATATGAATTAACGAGGTTTCATGTGTTTTCCCTGGTGTGTGTAAAATATAAATGTAGATGTAATTTACTTTCATGTAAATTTATTTAGAAAGAGAACTGCCGTCCTGATGGAAGAGAACTTGGTGAATTCAGAACCACAACTGTCAACATAGGTAAGGATGTTTTGAGTTCTAAAATAGAATGCTGAAGTTGCTTCAGACTTTCTCGTTTTTTCATGTATTTTATTTGCGATGTTTTTTAAACTATTGTTTCAATTGTCATGTTCTTCTTTTTAAATGTTAAAGTAACTGTAAAGTGTTTTCCTCCCTTTCTTCCTTCAAAACCTCCAAGACATGGTTTTCTTATATCTTACACTTACTAAACTTTCTGTTGCAAACACAAAATTTTCCAGTTTAATTTGTATGACATTCTTGAGTTTTAGCCTGAGCCATTTAAACAATATTTGAGCCAAATTCTACCATACCTAATGGAATCCAGTGATTTTGTGTCAAGAGATTTTTTTCTGTAGGACAGTTCTGTGACCGAATGCAAATGATTCAAATTCAAGAATAGGTGAATAATTCCTAAAACACTAATTTTATAATAGTTACATCATTTAAAAAAGACATGAGCTAGGAATAAATTTTCATAAACAACTGAGATATATAGCAACATAAAATTTTATGTAGAAAATGAAAACTTTCCATGGACTTTTTCATTTTATTATCTTTTCAGGTTCAATTAGTACTGCAGATGGTTCCGCTTTAGTGAAGCTGGGAAATACTACAGTAATTTGTGGAATTAAGGCGGTAGGTTTAATATGTTACTGAGATTCGAATTACCAAATTAGCTTCATGTTCTTATTAGATTGTAATTTACACCTATATTTCTGTTGATCAGGCAGTCAGGTGTCAGTTTTTTAGTATCCTTCATTTCCTAAAATGATCCAAGTCCAGTGACTCTTAATTTATGAACATGCATCAAATGGGCTGAAATGAAACCATTTTAAAAATCCTCACTACCTTTAATTTTTTAAGAATTTGGTTGTTATTGAGATTTTTGGTGACATCCTTTTATCCAGTGATAGCATTTAATCTGTGCAAATAATGTAGAAAATTAAGACTGCTCCCGAGAAAGGCTTGAGGGAATAAGAGCCATTGTTTACTGAGTACCTTTTATGTTCCAGGCACCTTAAATTAGATGCTTTATTACAGAATTACCAGTTTAATCATGAGAACAATCAGTTGAAGTATAATTTCTGTCTTCTGTTTTACATGAGGTTCAGCAACTTGTCCAGGAACATAACTAGAACTTAGAACTTTGACTCCAAAGCTTGTGCTTTTTTCACTATGTTGCACTGTGAATTACTTAAAGTAACCTAAGTTGAGATTCTTCCTCAGGGTGATAAAGCTGGGGTGATATCTGACAATATGATCTGAGCACTTAATTGTGCCACCTTTTATGCTGGGGACATTAACAGTATCTCATTTGACCCTCATTAAGAATCCCTTAAAAATAGGTCATATTAAGTTCTCATTTTGCAGATGAGAAAGTTGAATGGTAAGAGGTTCTATGATTTGACTAAAGTCCTTCAGACAAAAAGTGTGGGTCTGACATTCCAACCAGGTCAGTGAGTCCCAGGCTTTTGCTCTTACCACTTTATCACTTCCTAAGTCTGGCTGTGTAAGGATCACCTTGGGTTTAAATTCAGATTCTTTGCTACTAAATGAGAGGAAGAAAACCAATTACTGTATTTTTTAAAAGAGCCCCATATAATTTTGGTTAGTAGCACTAGAATGTAGGCAACTAAGCTATGCTGCCTTTTTAACCTTGCAGACCTAATATGTGGATTTGTGCCAGTGTCCTTATAGCCCAGTAGGACTCCCTACCCTAATAAGCACAGTAGATGGCTAAGATGGTCTTTGCTGCAGGTTTCTATAACTGATTGCTAAGCTGTCTTCACAATTATCGAATAGCTTCTTTGAAACATTTGTTTGCTTCTCTAGGAATTTGCAGCACCACCCACAGATGCCCCTGATAAAGGATATGTTGGTAAGTTAAATGGTTTTTTAAATTTTAATACAAATACTTTAATAACACATTTAATGATAATATTGTAGTCCAGACCTAGTAGCTGAATTGAAGAAAATGTAAAGATTCAGAAATATATTGGAATGAAGCAGATTCCTGAAAAGTTTAGTTAGAAGATAGCCTAATAAGCAAGATAAAGAGAATTTTGTAACATTTTCAGCTTTGATCAGTTGTTTATGCATTCAGATGTCATCAACCAAGAAAACAATCTCTTAGGAAAGGGTTGTAATCACAGACTTTTGTTTCCATAAATATTCATTTATACCACTATGCAATTTTCTTCTTGCCTTGGACCATCTTTTCTTTATGGTAGGTACCAACATTTTAAAAATTTCTGTATGGTAGGTACCAACATTTAAAAAAAAAGTTTTTTTAAAAATTTTAAAAAATCAGTTGGGTATGAGTACAAAGGCTATCTGCTGTTACAGATTGAGGTATATTGGAAGAAATCTTATTTTTTTCTGAAGGATTTGGGGATTGAAGCCTTCCTTAATAGATGCTTTTTATATTTTTGGTATTTGTGTGGAAAAAAAAAAAGTTGGAAATAGATTTTATCTAAGCCTGAGAGTATTACAAAGACCAGAAAAGAAGTAATTGGTGTATTACAATGCTTTCCACTTGGCAAATCCTATCTA